GTGTTTGCGGCCTACGCCACTTATTTATCGGGTGAGACTGTTTTGGTGATGTATTAACTTCACGGGAGGTAGACGACCGTCCTTCACACGGACGAAAGAGGGAGTGCTCAAAGAGCGGCTCCCACAGCAAGGAGGGGCCCCGTGAATCATCGCGGTGCCCCCTATCAAACGGTTATCTTACCAGTCTGCGTGACACAAAATCATCCAGCACATGTATCCAATAGCAATGTTCGCAGACTCACGAACATGGTCAACGTACCGGAACAGACGTAGCCTTCATCTCCTGCCGCGCAGTCGGAGTCACATGCTCCAGGGTCCCCTATGGCTGGGCATTCTGCATGGAGGCAAAGACAGTATACCCCAGAGAAACGCATTGGGTACGGTTCATGGTTGGAGTGAAATCATTGGAAAAACCGATGACGAGGCTGCCCGCGGCGGCGTCAGGTGAGAAACTCCTGATTAGATCGCTTCGAACCACGGGCTTTCGCTCTTCAGCCACTGAGTATTGCCAACGCTCGTGCTCGTGAATACATACACAGCAGCTAGCTGTACTTGGTGGAGGAGCTTGGCACCATCATGCGTGCTCGTTTTCTCGAGCAGTTCAACATGCTCCCAATGGTCTAATCCTCGAAGGCCCGCAGACATACAGTCAGCGCATGAGATAGCCATTGCAGCACCGAGATGGCGTCGTGCCTTCGGGACTCGAGGCGGGGTTCGGGATGCGGAAACAATAGAAAATGTGCCCAACGGAGAGTGTGAAAATGTTGTTGGACACACGCCGTCCAGTCTATTTCTAAAAAATATTTACGCGGGTGTACGGATGCCACACACTCTGAAAGGCGTCAACGCTGTGCTGGTGTCGAACGCCCAACTACGGACGAAAGTCCGCTCGTCCGAGAACGTCGCTGAGTCTAGTAGTACGCACTAGGAATAGCGTGTCGTCGCACGAGCTAGGTGGATCACAGCTGGCAACATATATGGTCATTTTCCACGCACCGCAAGTGCCGGAGACGAAACCTCCCGGGAGTTGCAGGAAGTCTGCACCAACGTTCGGCCTGGCAGATGCGCGAGCAGAGGGGGAGGTTGGGCGAGAGAGTAATGTTACTCGAGCACAAAGTCTAGGGTGCCTCCGTGGTCTACGACTTTGGATCGTCGGTGAATTCTCTCCACCTGAACGCGCTCGGACTCTTTCTTACCGCTACCAATTCACGTGGGTGGCGGACATAGTGAAGACCAACCGTTCTAGCATTTTTGGAACCTTTTGACCGGAAAGTGGATAGAGGTCGAGAGCGGAGAAAATGGAGCTCGTAGAGAATGTCAGAATATCTGACATCACGTTCTTCAACCATCAATTGGCTCCACACATGGTTTTCGGGAATGTTTGCGGAGCTCGAACCTGCACGGGCCTCGTGGGAAGACTCGACAGCTGGGGCCACTGCAAATTCATGCGTTGGGACGCTACTTGATGCGAGAGCCATGTTTGGTGGTCGGGAAAATCCGGAAGGTTCGGAGCGAATGCTCGATCCTCTCGCTCGAACCTCTCCAAAGCACAATCCGATCTGAAGGTAGAAAAAATAAACTACCGCATGTTGCTCTACACAATAACTGGCGATCACGCCAATGATACCTGCTGCGACCAAGGTGTGTGCCAACGTTTCACCTTTGCTAAACGAGAGTCCTAGTCGCACGCATCGTCGCCCCCCTCCCCCGCTGCACAATTTTCGGTATCTTTGGCTTGGAAGGAAACAATTTGCAATTCCACACACTACATGAAAGCATTATCGTCACATTTGATCAACGGCAGGGGCCTTACCCTGGCGTGGGGAGGCACTGCAGGTCCGGGTTGTCACTCAAATCCCTGCGGCGGCACACACAACAAACGCGGAGCGAGAACATGCCCGCATGGGGGGCGCACGAAAACGCCCCATGGTCAAGTCAAGGTTCCGATACGGCAACACTGATGTTAGGGTTGAAGGCTACAGCTGTGTTGACCCCACCCAGCCCTACAACCTAGGTAGGTCTACAGGACAGATATCGAAACCGTACCGCCCGCAGATGTCAGACCCGTTTTGGGTGAGATCCTGGTCGGGGCCGCGGCAGAATGCCACGTGCTGCCACCACCAACAGGTTCTTTTGGTGTGGGAACTATTTCATGCCAATATTGTCCCTCCCATGACAAACTGTAAGACGCATGGCCCGAGGTCTTGAATTCCGCCGGGAGGTTTGAAAAATGTTTGTGCTGTCGGTCTTCTTGTGCCAGGGTTTCAAAGGTGAGCAATATCGACGCTATCCACAGTCATTGGAATCCGAAGAGATTCGCACACCCAGACACATCTAGCCGGGAGGGCCAAGCACCAAGCAGAACCAAATATCGTGCAGACATTGCATGCAGACGGAATACAGTCTTGTGTGCCCCGACAAAAGCTTATACAAACGCGAAACGCCTCGGCTTGTGTAGGACTCCTTGCCAGGGCGCCAAAGACCCGACGGGTGGTCATCATGGCCCGAAAACTATGCCCGGATGCGGGCGCACGGGATCGGTACTGACAATTAGACGCCTTGCCCTAGAATGAGATTGCCTTGCCGATCGACTCACAGGTAGGTCAAGGCGGAGAGAACGACGAACAATCCTTGTGGCAAGGTGGACAGCTGGTTATCTTGAAGTTGCAGCCGTTTAAGCGATTCCAGGTCATCAAAAACTCCTCCGTCGATCCCCTCCAGCGAGTTGTCGTCCAGTGATCTGAATGAGAACGATGCGGGGCGGCCAACAACGCGAAATATTCGAGGTATGAACCCTCTTGGCAGGGGGGCCTTCGGGAACATGTCGGGTTCGAAACGAAAAACTCCTGTAACGTCGGAAAGTAGCACAGATAGGTGTGGTTGCGATAGAGCGGTGCCAAGCTCGTTGGTTCTACAACGGATTCGAACAAGACAGATCAATCTCGACGCAAAATACTCATATGAACGCGGGAGCGATAGCTAGTGGCTTGGTCTACAAGACATTTGTGCCGAGAAAATGGCAGCTTTGCTGCCTTCTGCTTGCCGAAAAGTGAAAAGCTTCGAAGCGACGTATGGACGCACAGCTTTTGGAGAGCTCCGAGGCCGTCGAAAACGCCATGGTCAAGCGCAGAAAGAGCGTTCGACCCCAGGTCCAACTCTTCCAGCGACGACAGCCCGTCGAAAATCCCCTCAGAGAGCTCGGAGAGGTCGTTGTTGTCAAGGTACAGCCGCTGGAGGAGAGACATGCCGCTGAAAGCACCGGACGGCAAGCTCGTCAGGGAGTTTTCGTCGAGGTAGAGGAAGCGTAAGTAGGTTAAGTCGGCGAAGACTCCGTCCGGCAGCTGTGTCAACTTGTTTTGTCCGAGCGAGACCTCGTTAACAGGGTCATGGGAAACGCTGTCCACACATGTCGAGAGATCCTGCGCGTCGCTGTCCGTTATGTCGCACCCTATCAGATTGCTGAAGGAACGAAGAAGATACGAACGTGTCACACGCCCAGCAGGGAGCAAAAGCGATGATCAGGGTTAGCGACCGATGCGCGCTGTCGGCCATTGACAAATGACTCGATCGAGGGTGAACAGGGTTGCGACGATGTCCACTAGAAGGATGCGAATAAAACATCGCCAATTGTACGTCCCCCGGTGTACAGTCGCCTGGGCCCGTGAACAAGCAGATCAAGAATATTCGTTGTGGCTGATTGGCCACAAGTTTTTTCGTTCTCGGACAAATGCGCAGAGTGCACGTCAAGAACCGTGTAGCCGTACACTACGTAATGGCTGGATGCTGACTTTGTGCTCAGGATGTTGGAGTCTGTCCACATACTACTGACCTTTGGAAGCTCAATTTTGGGGCGAACACGTGTCAAGAGTACGGTAGATTGGTATCGCCATGGTCAACACTCTATTCTCAGAAATATTTTGCCAGTTTCATGTATGCCCATACGAGGTGAATAACAACAAGCATGGTTCGACGACATTCTGTTGTGCTACCTGCCAACGTGCCACAACAAGGTAGGTTGCGCGCTATCCAACAGCCTTACAGATGCAGTTCCCCCGGGTTGAGCCAGCATTTGAATTCCTCAGCTGCAGGGTCGAGGCAGGGGTTGATGGCTGCCGGAGAGGCCACCGAGAGAAGTGGAAGAGGAAATACGGGAGAGGGAAGAGGGATGTGGGCGGCAAACGCACGACATTCGGTCAACCAATGCCTGACATCACGACTTTCCATTTACACAGTGGCAAGGATCTGGAAGCCGTAAGAAAGATGGCCCCGGGTTTTCATTCGTCGAGCAGGGCTTGTCATTCTAGCACATGTCAGCAAGTGTTCGTCCACCGCGCACCAAGAAACAAAAAAAGCATTGATCCGGACTCCACGAAAGCCTCGAGATTCTGGGAGTGCATGGGCATGAAGAGGTGTAGAGAATGGGAGCGCCCAAAAACAGTCGCGGGTATCGTGATCGCAACCGTGTTTTCGAACGCATCGTCCTTCGTAGCTGTGGGGCCACCGTGATACGTACCTCTACAGATCCGGAAGTGCCAAAACACAAACTACGAAGTTCGAAACAGGTCTTCACTCTACATCCACAAGGTGTTACTGGAGGTAATGCATGCACAGTTTCGATGCGCGCGTTCTCAAGTACGACAGTATTGCATGTGTTGCGCGTACGTGCTGAAAGCCATCCAGCATTTGTGCAAATGCCGTACACCGGTTTTTACGACCCATCTCTGCAAAGCTGTCGGAAGTGTAAACAAGAAATCTCATGCATACTCCTAGGACCGGCAGAAAAGGCCAACCGAGGAAATCTTCGAATGCTCTAACGAACAGAAAATCGAATCCGTGGTCGACAGCGATAGTTATTCGAACAACCCCATGATGATACCAATGCTCTTAGTTCCCTCGAACATATTGGTACAGAACCAAGGACTCACCGTCTACTGAAGCGAACCCGCTCAAGGCGCCAGCTGCGAGCAGTGGCAACGCCAGTCTCTGAAAACACGTGTTGTTCATCCTTGTGTTGGAGCAGCGGGAAGACTGCGAGAAAACAATGCCGACCAAGGAGGAGTCATGTTGACGGTAGCGGAGAGTATTTGCGTTAATATTTGGTTTTCATGACTTGGCTACCGACTACCATACACCAGGATAAGGTTAGCCCATGTTGTATGACTCAAATTATGTTGTGCTCCAAACGTAAATGGCTTCAAGGCTTGTGATTGGCTGCGTGACACATTCACGGCATTCGTGAAACAAGCAAAACAAAAGTACCGATACACTCCCGGTTTGCTGAGAAACGGATCACAGTGTAGTTGCTCTCAGCGCTGACAAGCGAAACCAACTGCCATCTTCGCGACAATGCCATATTGTAGCGGCCTCTCCATTTACGTCGATGATCTGAATCGCCCATCTCAAACAGCCTGCCCGTTGTCCTCAAATTTGTTTCGTGCAGATTTAGCCGATATTTTTCCGGGAATTCATACGGTGGACTTGAAAAGTGCCAGATCCTGACCAAATTAGGTCGCACGTTGAATTAGTACAGTAGGAAGGTTACCGTCGGTCCTATAACGGGTTTCACTACGTGGTATCAACTGGATGATCAGCTTCGTTCATTGCCAAACGCGATGTTGGATTGGTTTGGCATGGTGGCTGGGTCTCGCCGAGAGGCGAAGGGAAATAGTTCCACCGAGACTCTGCGTAGGTTTGCACATTTGCACGAAATGCACCGCGGCTTTTCTGAGATGGACGAAGGTGCTGGGACGGCGACAAGCTCGCCACGTATTGCAAGGATTGTTGCTGCGGTAGAGAACGAGGCTGCCCGATGACCTCCCGACAAAGGCCGGAATTGCTGGGTTTCGATAATTCGATGGTGTCTATAGGGGCTGGTGTTCGTCGATGATGATGATGGTGGTGATGATGATGCGCTCTCGGAAAGAGAATAATCGAGTGAGTCCAAGGGAGGCTGGTCATACGTGGAATCAACGCCAGGTCAAGAGAGCCTTGATAACACCCACGTTACCCACGTTGCGCCGCTCGTATCTCACGCCAGGGTGGTACCCATTTGCTTTTCGTCCTAACGCAACTGCTGTACACGGCTCGCGCATCATCCCGTATTCTTGCGCATTTTGACGGTCTTCATTTCGGAACAAACCAATGTAGAGCATCATTGCCGTGGCATTCCAACAGCACTGATCTCGGATGCCGCCAACCCGGAGAGGGGGCTCGGGGCACCAGCATCGTACGTTTTCAACACGGCACATCGCACAATTGTGCCTGAAAGCTCCCGGGCACGGTGTCCGGTTTCATCACTCGGAATCGTACTCGATATTCTGCTGTGTACGCCGCGTTGAACGGACGCAAAAACTACCACGGACGTATCTACGGCACCACAGGGCGACATGACTGCGGAAGGTACTGTAGTTACGACATCAAGGTCTGGGGGAAGACCTCGGTTCACAAACGTGTCAGGTGCATGGACTCACTTGGTTGATGAGCGCAATCAAAGCAGGGGTGGGAGCTGGGCGTGGACAGTGAGTGAGGGCACACGGCGATAGTGGCATTCACACTCAGCGCAATTATATTTGGTTACTAATTGACCCGAACGCCTTTTGATTTGGCCGAGATGAATGATTTCAGCAATCACCCGTCATTGGACCGCTCGACGATGACAGATTCCTGCGCGCGGCCGTACGAACGGGATGCACCCGAAAAATAAATACGTGGGCATATCTGTACATGGGCGCATGGCCCGGACGTCTCCAAGTGTACTCAGCGTCTCTTCGCTGAAGCTACGAATAATGTTGCTGTTGACTATTGTGCAATTGAAACCCTCATCCTTCTCAAAAACCATGTACGGTGCTTTTGTACGTGGTGCTCGAGGGAATCGTTTACCCGAACGCTTGATCATACAGTCCAGGATTAATTTTTGATTGCAGAATGCAGAATACTTTTCATGACAGTCAAAGGGTTGAACGAGCATACGTACCTTGCCTTTCACAAACAATCATTTCATCGTGATGGCCTCCTTGTTCTCAAAAGAACTACATATTGCAGATATGGCTTCCCGACAGAGCTCCCTGAGAGAGCTTCCCGAGATCGCTATCCCGAGAGCGGCAAGAGCACGGAAATGCGGCGGAATCGTTCCGAACAGCACGGGAAATATTCCGAACCAAACCCGGGGTGTTCACCCACGATCTGCTAGCTTTTCGGCATAAAGCAAAAAAAAGGAGAAATAGAACAGTCAGAGACACAGCAAGCGCACAGCAGCCGTCGCTTACCACGGGGACTCGCCCTTACTCCCTTCGCCACACATGTCGGATTCGAAAAAGTGCTTAGACCGAGCTTGGCAGTGTCTTGGAGAGGTAAGCGGTGCTTGCGGGCGAGACATGCATGTCTCACCGGAATCTGACAGTCGCGTGACAGACACACGAAAATGATTTGGCAGGGTACAGCAGCACGGCAGTTGTTGGCGCCCGCAATCAAGGACTGGTATTGGCTAAGAAGCACCGTTCAGCAGAAGTGGGTCCTAGACTTAGCTCTACTGATGAAGTAACCTGTGGTCGACGATGGCGGCGACGAGAACAGAGTTTGAACCTCGATCATAGATATTGACGTTGTCTCCGTCGCGCGCTCCCACCCTGTTGCTTGGGTGGAGAAACAGAAACCATGTCCAACGCGTTTTCGATGTAGCGTGATCCCACCCTGTTGAGTGGAGTGTCAGAATGCAACGATGTTCCATTGCCATGGATTCATGTCTACAGCAAAAATACAGGAGAACTTTATGAAGAAAGCACGTTCGCACTTGTGCAGACAAGGCGGCAGAATAGGGTTTTTGACGCTGGCTATACTTTCAAGGAAACAAGCTAACGCTATGGATTCATTGCTGATCAATCTTAGACGTATTCTATAGATAGAGATGGATTTGTTGTGTGATACTAAGAAAAAAAAAGAAGGAAACGTTCCCGCCTGAGGAACCTGGTATTTAGTACTTCAAGTACCTCTATATATTTTATTTTATAACATATATGCATACTACCTCTGTATCATAAGTTAGGGTACCTAAATGCAATAGATTGTTCTTGGAACAACCGTGTTAGTGATGGTAGCATAGTCGGGTTTGTAAGAAAGATATAACAAAGAAGCGATGGAAAAAAAGTTAAAAAAAAAACGAACATCTATTTCTGTATCTACTATTGGTCAAAATGTACCCTATTTTGGCCTGTTTTGGGAATATTTTTGAGTAAATATTTTGGGATATTTTTTGAGAATTCTCGACAAAATTCTCAAATCCATTTTACTACCCTACTCTAGCGATGGAATCGCCCCGCAGCACACCACCTCGCAAAAGGGGCACCGAATTATCGGTTGGTAGGCGCTATGCCATGGCGGTAGAAATTGCGATGGGCATTCAGCCGGGGTTGTCAAGGATTCCCAAGGGCGTGCTTGACCCGATCTGCGAACGCTACGGTGTTGGAAAGAAGTACCCGTCCAAGTTGTGGAAACGGGTCAAAACCCAGATCGACAACACCCAGGATCTGGACCTTTCTTTCAAACGAAGCAAAGTAGGCGGCCGTCGCTTCTCACCCCTTCAAAGATTGCGGCGGCATCGAGTCCAAGTGATGATGAGGAAGAATAGTCGACTTTTTCTTTTTTTTCCCCGCCACCAACCAACCCTTCTTTTTGTCCCGCAAGTGTCTTGATTTTAGTGTGACCCCCCAAGTGTCTTGGTTTTAGTGTGTGACCCCCAAGTGTCTTGGTTTTAGTGTGGTTCACTACTATACTGATTTTAGTATAGGGGGCGCGACATGGATCGTTGAGTAGAGGGGGGGGTTGGATGAGGGCCCTACTGTTGCTTGCTTTGCCCCGTAAGTGTCTTGGTTTTAGTGTGGTCCCCCCAAGTGTCTTGTTTTCAGTGTGGGGGCCACTATTATGCTGTTTTTAGTATGGGGGACGCGTCATGGATCGTTGAGTAGAGGGGGGGCTAGGTTTAGGGTCAGGGATAATTCTTGGTATTTTTGCCTTGTTTTTGTCATTGCCCCGCCCCCCCCGCCTGGTCGGAGGGGGCAGAATACATGCAAAATGCGGCCTTTTTCAGGCCGACTGGTTTTTCTCGGGCGCTCATGCACGCGGGGTGGCGCATGCATATAAAATAAAATAAATGTTTCTTGCTAAAAAAACTCCGAAGATTTCAACAAAAAATCGAAAAACAGATCGGACACGGTTAAGGGCCCGTACAAATTTAGGTACCCTAACTTATGATACAGAGGAAGTATGTGCTTAAATAATCTGCTATAAAAACAGCATTCCATAAATTTGTGATTCAACAGGATTATGAACAACTAATAGCAAACTTAAAAATAAAGTTGCAAAAGTTAGCCGAACCATACTTGGTGCAAGATAACTATGATATCAGTAGAGGACACCATCAAGAGGTGCCGTGTGTGCTGGCACGTTCAGGTTTGCTGCTGGAGCTGAAACATCGAATGTCGCGGCAACCTCTGAAAACAGTCCGGAATCTGCGCCAGAACCAAGCATCCAACAGTCAACATTTGTCACTGCCGTGCTCACCGCCACGGACTGTAAACCCCTGAACGGAGGGTTATCCACAGTCGTGTGGCATCAGCTACTGCTGCAAGTCCCCAGTTCAGGAGATTGGGGTCAGTAGCAGCGAGCACAAGCAGTAGAAGACACGGGTGTCGGTAAAGTTGCAAAGATTTGCGGAGATTGTAGGCCGCTACTACGACCTTCGACATCACCACCACAGAAGCAGATTTGAGCCCGCCAACACGCACCCCCCGTTGCTATAGGATGCCCTCTAGTGATATTAGTACTATCCACCAAATTCTTGGCAACACAGAGCTTATTTGAGCGCCTGTCGTTTTGGCTCTGACTTGAAGCTTGAATGGTGTGGTTTTTTTTTATTTCAACGGAGGCATGTGGGGGTAGACGCATGAAATGTATGTCTTGAGAAGCCTCTACCGCCGCCCTGTGCGAGAATCAGCGATTCCTGCTGTTTGCCATGCCCTCCGACTTGCAGCTTCCTCATCTTTAAGATAAGAAAACTGAACATTAAAAGGTTTAGTCTCATTTGGTAAAGGAATATCTAAAGTTTTTGATACTCGAGCAGAAAGCCATTTAATATTAGCTAATTCTGCTTTAGCAAGCAATACTTCTTCGTAAGACNTCCAAGAACGACTTCGTCCTTTAGCTTTATGAGTAAACCTTCCCTTTATTTGTATTTTTAAACCTTGAATTTCTTTATAAGGTTCTAAAGCTTTTAAAGTTTGTTTAATATATCCTAAAAATTGATAATGTCTTTTTCGTCTTTGTCTGGAACATATATTTTGTTTTAAAAATCTTAAAAAGCTTGTAGGGTTTGCTTTATTTTTCATTAATAAATATATAAGTTGCATACCATATCTAGCATAATCATATTTTGTACGATTAAAACCTTTGCTAAAGTACGCTAGTTGTCTTCGTGCAGGTTTAGGTACTGATCTTGTATAAGCTTTTAATCTATTAATTTTTAAAGTTATTTTTTTTGTTCCTATAAAATGTTGAATTAATTTAGGTCTTGTGTCTATCGTGTGCCATTTCTGGTGCTCTTCCTTTTGTTTTGAAAAATTGTCAACATCAAAGTTCGTGTTCTGCCGTCCCTCAGGAGTGTTGTGAGAGTACCTCCCGTGAGGACCTACTGTAGCATCAACGTTTTTTCGCATGACAACGCAGCGCAGCGGTAATAAAACTGGAATCAAACCATCAGACTACAGCAGTCAGCGCTGACTACGTGCATAGTCCAATGGTTTGATTTCGGCTTCTAAAAGCGCGAGTATTGAACACGCGGTGCCTCGGCTCCTGGTTACGTTTGACCGGTTCACGTGTAGGACAAGCTGGACGAAGCAGCGGAGCTGTGCAGCGCCGTACTGCGCAGCGCCCCTCGTAACGCACGCGGGCTGTACCTGCGCGCCGTAGCGTCGCAAAGGGCCGGCAGGCCCAAAGAGGCCGCCGAGGATGCTTGCCAGGCCGCACGCCTCCGACCAGACCTGCCGTCCGTGCAGCTCATGGCGGGATCACTGCTGTGCCGAAACAAGTGCTTCGGTCGAGCTCTGGCGGTGTACGAGAAGGCCCTGGACGCGAGCCCCGGGAACGTGCAGTACCACCTTGGGGGTGAGAGGGTTTTGGAAGTAGTCAAGCGTACAGCAGGGGCGTTGTTCGTAGGGGGCGCGTACGCGCACCGCGATCGAATCCGCGCTATTTCTGCTCTACATGCCCAGCTCCATGCAACGTGTGGCCTCTGACCCCATGGGATGTAAAACGTCGTCTCCCTCCCTCTCTCTCTCTCTCTCTCTTTCTTCGCTCTTCAACTCACGCCCGCAAAATCACGCCCCACGTCTACCGCACACAGCTGCTTCCGCCCTTAGGCAGCTGGGCCGCGGGGACCACGCCACCGCCGCGTTCTTAGCAGCCGCGTCAGCGGCCGCCTCCGCTGACGTGGGCACACAGGCGCAAGTGCAGTACAAGCTGGGCCAGCACCTGCGGTCGATGGGAGACGCGGCCTCCTTGGCACAGGCCGCGCAGGCGTACGCGCGATGCTTGGAGCTTGACCCAGGCCACGTGCTGGCGGCGTTCTGGCTACCGGCAACACGGAAGCTCGCCGCGTCTACCCTGAGAGGTATGCATACAGACATGTGCAAAGTCTACGGTTGTCCATTTTTGTGTTAATAATGTCGGCGAAGGGGCAGGGCTTCATAGTCGCTTGGCGCACTTGTGGAAGAACCGCAATAGTTCACGAATCTCTCCCCCCGCACGAGCCTTCGCAAGGGGTATCCGACGAGGGAGTTAGCGGCCGTCGAACCAACATAACCCTGTGTTTTGACCGGACTGGTGCGTGTTGAGACTTGTGCTTTCGTGTACGCTTTGTGGGTCCTGCGCGGTCGCTTCGAATTGGGCTCATGGCACCCCAGACTGCTGGCATACAGTGTAAGGCGTGGCATTGTGGCTCACAATGTTTGAACACATTGTTGGCGGCCCCGTGTCGATGTTGAGGTCAGCAGTGATGCGCTCCGATCGGGCCCGCAGGCAGCAGTGGTTCCGGTGGCCCCCTTGATCCCCCGATCATCGAATGGTTGAATGCTTGTGACAGAAAGCGTGCTGTTGGCCGTTTAGTGTATGGGAACAAGTCGTTCACACCAACCATGTTCATCGTTTCTGGTTTCGGTAGCAGTTGAAGGTCAGGCAAACAAAGCGGGCTGTGTTAGATGTGTTGCTTTGAAAAAACAAGAAAGTTCGCGCTCCAATGCTACTGGTGCTGGTGCTGTTGGCTGGTGCTGCTGCAGCGGGCAGGTTCTGTTTTCCGTCGGTACCGAACAGAGCGCTGTTGATTGTGTGATTCATCCCGTCTATTCATCATTCGGTATGTGTTCGACGTATGAACGAGGGTCACACAGGATCAAGGCGACACAGGGACTGCATGTTTTTTATTCAATCAGAGAAGTGCTGGTCGCCCTTGTTGGTGTCGTGTTCATCCGGTTGATGCTTGGTCACCCATGCTTCCTCCGACGGCGTTTTCAGAGGCGCACGACGGCGTGTATGTAGCTGGTTCTGGAGAGGCCAGCGTTGCAGTTGATAACGCAATGGAAACCCCTGCCACTCCCGCTTCGGCGCCCCGGGAGTACGTCGTTGGCCTCTACAACTCCTACGCGGAGACCTTCGACTCGCATTTGCAGGGGGCGCTCGAGTACAGAACGCCGACTGTCATCGTAGAAAACCTCCGCCGGCTGTTCCCTGAGAGAAGGTGAGAAAATGCACGCCCTTGTTTGCTTTCCTGGGAAATAACGAGGGGGTTAAACTGCTTCGATTCGGGCGCAAAAACGAGGCCTCTCCGTTGTTCTCTGACGCCGACACGAAAATGAGTGACATGCGAACCGAAGTTTTTCCGGAATAGGCAATACTCCGGCATTTACTAGGCCTTGTGTTTTAGTATGACCTTACGTGGAAGGTGTTTTTGGTGTGTTGTTGGCTTTAAGAACCTCTTCGAGGGTGTAGCGGCCAGCCGATTAACATCGTCTGTCATGCGTAACCGTGAGGGTTCACTTCCTTCAAAATCGGTCCGCGTCCACCGGTTGCATGTCCAAGTATTGCACTTTCTCCCCGACCAGCGTCGTCTAGTTTTCTCCTAACCCCGTGCATGATGGATAATGGCTTGGTTTGCAGCGTATGCACGCCGACACGCCGACCCGGAAATCCATTCCCGATGGCCCCTGTCGATAGCCCGTGTCTTAGCAGCCGGAACGATCACGCTCTCCCCTCTCTCCACAAAGGTTGGCTTCTGAAAATCAAGCACAGAAAGACTAGATGGTGCCACAGCAGTCGAAGGGAAGTGCTGAAGTATTTTTCAGTTAGTGCTTTGTTTCGACGCATGCTGAACAATGACAATAGGTGGGACAGATGCCTCGACCTAGGCTGCGGCACCGGTCTGTCGGGTCGGGCGGCGTCCTCTGTCTGCCGGCGTCTCGTCGGCGTCGACCTTAGCCCCGCCATGGTCCGCCGAGCGAGGGAGAAGCGGGTCTACCACCGCCTTCTTGTTGGCGAAGTCACCGAGACCGTCAGGCGCCTGAGTCGCCGAAGCGAGTCGCCATCGGAACCAGGGGCTGGGTCATCCCCCAGACGCCGGCGCGCACGGTGGGAAGTACCCGCGATGGTTGAGGAAGAGGGGGGAGCGGCCGTGGCAGCGATGGCGGTAGGGGGATGCGGGGATGGCAATGGAATTGACCAAATGCTTCCTGGGACAACCGTGGCAGAAGAGGCATCGGTTGAAGATGTGGAGTCGCCTGCTGCGGGAAGTAAGCGCGAGCTAGCACAACCAACGGAAGTTACGACATTGGCGACGCTACAGTCGGCGCCAATTGAAACAAGTAGTGGCACATGCGGCGGCACCAGCAGCGGCGGGATTGATGGGGGGGATCTGATCCTATCGTGCGACGTTTTTGTCTACATCGGCGACCTCCGAGCCTGCTTCGAAGCCGTTCGCGGGCTGGTTGCCGGCTACCAAGCTTCGGCGGAATCGGAAACGGAAGCGGGAAGAGATCCGAGGCGGGAAGAACCTGCCGCTGTTTTCGCCTTCTCGGCGGAAGCGCCACCATCAGAGGCGACAGACGCTGGAGATTCGGGGGGCGAGAAAAGGACAACAGCCGATGCTGCCGATCCAAGCCACAGGGGGTACGAGCTACAGGGTACTGGCAGGTGCGTGTGTTACTCTGCCAGAGGTGATTGGCCTCGCCTGCTTTCTGTGAGACCAAACATGGGGGGATGGCGGGTGTTTCGCACATCTGGGATTGGCCTCCCCTTTTGTGGCACCTATGGGTGCCCTGGGTAGTCATTGAAGACCTACACAACTTCTCCCGGCCGCTAGCACACATGGCCAGTGCCATGGTGAGAGGACGGCAGGAGGTTATGCAATCGATCGATCGGGTATTCGTGGACGCCCGGAAGAGTACTTGCTTCAGCAACGAGCCATCGCTTCTGTTTTGTTTTGCAGCCACCTAAAGCAGCATTATGTTGGGAGTCTGGGATTCCGCGATCTGCGCTTGGACCCCCTTACCTTTGGTCCATCAAGCAGCGCGACTGACTACACACACGATTTGAAGTACGGGGTCAAGAAGTCTAGGGGGTCCTGCAAGGAACCACAGCACGTCTTGTTGCCAAAGCCGTGCGCTCAGGCTGCAGAAAAGGGTGCGTCATCATGTCGGACCATGAAGTAGGCGCATGAACACGAAATACCTCGACGAAAGCCCGAACCCCTCAGGCTGCAGAAAAGGGTGCGGTCATCATGTCGGATCATGAAGTAGGCGCATGAACACGAAATACCTCGACGAAAGCCCGAACCCTGGTGCGAGGGGGTCGGGACGTATCGATGCCTCTACTGCGCACAGTTCCTAGCGGGCCTTTTGTTCTGTTTGTATGTTCTGCCTCTTCCTGCGAGCAGGTACAGTCACAGCCGCGAGTACCTAGAAACGGTTTGCCGGGACGCCGGGTTCAGCGTATTAGCATCAAGCAACGTCACCTTGAGAAAAAACGCCGGCGTACCCGTACCGGGCTTCGTGTTCGTCACGGAGGCGGCCATTGCTGCCTCAGCCCCAACATCGTAGCTGGGTATTGAGACGAGTAGACTGGGCAAGCCGTCGGTTGTCCATAAGGGCTACGTGGGGGGGAAGGTTGGTGACTTCTTCAAGGCTCTTGTGGGCGAAAAGAAGCACCCGAGAAAGGACGTTGGTGGAGGGGCTGAGAACGGAGGGACCGATCATTCTGATTGCGACCAACCGCTTCACGGAGCGACCTTAAGAAATACGACGATGGCTCTGGGCAGGTCAATCCTGCCGCGGGCTGCCTCCAACAGAAAACGGCAAGCGGTAGGCTCTCAACAGAAGTACCCCCCTCGGAGTTTAGGCATGGACCTTGGTCGTATGTACCATGCAACGGAGTGAAGAAAGTCAACTGCCGGCACCCACGAATGATGCAGCGTGCGCAGACCAAAATATTGAAATTTGAATGGAATAAGCTACTAGGAATACAGGGGGGGCAACACAGGGTACTACATGATTCATATGCATGCGCACCCTGGCTCAACGAGTCCAGCCGTTGCGCCGGGAAATCAAATTATTCATGCGAAACCGTGGGTCAGAGATGTTCCCGTGAGACTATGACCATCCATCGCTGCACATGTGTGGGATGCACGTCGTGGCCTACGGGTTACGTTCACTTCGCCGGTAACAGTTGCTGCTGCTGTCTACTACCACCGTTTTGTGCAACCTTGCCTTCTGTGCACCAATGTACCGCTCATACCCTACTTTGTCTGTACTCCTATCGCACCGGGGGTGACAAAGCGAAACCATTGTGTGAATGTGGGACGAGTGAATTGGAGGCGCCATGTCCTCCCGGACGAGAACATTCGTATTTTCGACAAAACAATCATGACAACAACAACTGCGCGACCACCAACGACCCGACGCAGGTCCGAACAGGTTACATTTACCCGGCATCGGGCCCGCCCTACTTTGTAGAACTACGGCGACAATCTTTGTGCACCGCTTCTACGCGTGCTTCGGCCTCCGCTTCGGCTTCGGCTTGAGTCTCGGGGCCTCAGGAGGCTTAGTCATGCACGAGTTCGAGTTTGGGGTACACCCACCGTAGCTGCGCCGCGCCGGAATCGGTGAAAAAAACAGAGGGCGCACGCAGACCGAGAAGGGCGGTTGGTGGTTGTCGGTGGTCGACGACAAGTTGGCTGACGTCAAACTAAAAGGTCACTTTCCACCCCTCGTTACCACGTGAAGCGCACGATCCGAACATTTGATGCCAAACGCGTGTGTGTGGCCTTTGAGAAATGCCAACGCACACTCGACGGGAAGAGGTACGCAAAACGCGCGCACAACAGTATCACACGTTTGCGGCCAGCTTGAGGGTCAAAAGACAAGCGTACTGCCCAGCCCGCCCGGATGCGTCGTCGGCACTTAGCGATCATATATTAGGAGTCGCACGCGTCGAGACCTTGAATGTTTGGTGTATTTCGAAGGAGCTACGCATACAAAGAACTTCGAACAAGTCCCTGTGAATCGGGGTGGTTGAGTTGCACGACACGACACCAAAATATGTCACCTTAGGAGACGATGTTCATTTGCTTTGGCGTAGTCAACGTCGAAACAGCTGCACCTTCCCTTGACCTGGGTGTTCACCATGAGGTGCAAGGCGACGTGCGCGAGAAAAAGAAGGCGGACCAAGCGAGACACGGAAACGAGAACAAGAACGACAAAACAAATAAATAGGCAGTGTGATACCATCACCCAGAAGCCACAACATTTGCGCTCCTTAGCCAAAGAAGACGGCACCTGGCCGTGGAATACTCGGCGCCCTCGTCTACTCGCGCCTAGTGATGTGCGAGTCTACGATGACGGGTCTTGCCAAAGTGCTTCTGACACGAGGATCTCCATAGAACGTTGCGTGATTTTGTAGTTGAAACCAGAGAACGTTCGGTGACGTCGGCTCTACGGCAGAACACACACAGCAGAAGGGGCGTCAAGGAGCTTGAGCCCGCCATCCCCTAAGCTTCTCAGGGACGACCTACCCTTTACCCACGCACAACACACCTTGGCAGCGTCCCTGCTGGCCTCAGCTTCTCCGCCCACCCCACTCCCACCCCCTGCCGCTTCCGCCGCTTGCTTCGCGACGCCGCTCTCCGGCTGCGACTTTCCCTCTCCCTGCTCCCGGATGCCCGCGCCGTGCACGTTCTCGGGGGCGAACTTTCTCGGAACCTTCTTCTCGTCCTCACACCACACCCGACCCCCCTCGGCCGCGGACCACCTGCTGTTGCAGCTGGGGTACCTGGTCGCGAGGGTTACACACAGTCACCGCGGAAACAATGTCTTGTTGAACCTGATGCCCACAGGGGAGATATCGCTATATGCCGCTCGCTTCGGGTACCGTAGAAGTGCAGCAAGTTGGGTATCATGCAACGCAATGAATTCATTGCAAACTCTACCCCGGGCTCACCTCTGGAAGAGATGAAATAGTTGTGTGCCCGAAAGAAAAAAAACAACGAAAAAGCAACCACATCTATGACGTACGTGCGGTTACAGCTTTCTATTTGACACAACAGTAAGCACATGAGTGCCGGGATTACGAGTGAGTGGGTCGGTGTGTGTGGCGTCAAACCAGAAGCGCCTTCACCACAAGCTGTGTCGCGAGGAAGACCGAAGTGCCACTCTTGCCCGCGTTCGTCCGAGAGACGCCCAACAACAATGAGCCTCACTCATGCTACTGTTGGACATGCTGCTGTTGACAAAACACGCTTGAGACGCGAACATATGGTATCGTTCCAAGTCGCCACAACAGACCATGGTTCTGGGAAGGTGTTTGGCTCAGAAATACTGCTGCCGCACCGAGTTCTTTAGAAATCTCGCTCGTGGAATTGAAGCATCCAGCGTCCGTTTGGATGTCGCCTGCTGGCAGCTGGCCCCCCACAGGATTGAAGAATATTTTGCAACCATCAACAAACACAATCACCAAGATACCGAGAGCGTTGGAAAACAGACAACTCATAGCACAACCCCTCGTGCTTGGGTTGAAATGCATTGGTGGAGTGAGTGATGTGGTTATGCCAGAACGTCCCCCCCCCCCCTCCCCCGAACGGCGACCCACAGTAATTTCTCGGCAGCTTCGCGCTCTTTCTCCTTCGCTCCCTTCCTGGCGCACTTGTGGAAGGCCGCCAACTCCCGGGTGGGTTCTCCGTTGGCGTCGTAGAACCGCCCCGCCAGCAGCCCCCTCTTCTTGTACAGCTCGTGGCTCTGGTAAAACTCGTGCCAGTCCTGGAAACGCACGCGCATGCATGATTTTCGTTTTCTAAGGAAACAAAGAGAAAAAAAGCAGGGTTGTACACGGAGTAGAACCGCTCCGCGGAGCGTTTTTTTTTTT